GATCCATTTTTTAAGGGGATCAAAAGATTCGATTTAGTTTTTATTCAAACCCATCAAAACTAAGAATTGCCAACACTGAAATTTAGCAAAGACAAATAAATACATATATAGTTTAGTGGATCCGACTTATATACATCATATTTATTACCAATCAAAAAATAGCACGTGTATAATTTTTATATTTTTATATTTTCATAATTAACGGTCACAAATATATCAAAATAAGCTCCATGATTAGAATTTATTTTATGGTATGATACTCAAATAAATAATTTTATTTAGACTTGATTTGTTGATTTAATTTAGTACAATCATTGGATTGACGGTGAATCTTATATCATATTGAGACTTAATAAGGCTGTTCAAAATTCAGTCCATCTGACCCATTCTGCATCTTTCTTATCCGACCTTACTCCATTATTAGAATTTCACAAAATTTCAGCCGAGCATTGGAAGAAATTTTAATATTCCATAAAATCGTAGATAGAAATGCGAAATATTCCTAAAAAATTCATATTCCTACCTGACCTGAAAATATATTTAAATTTTTTTTAAAAATAAAATATTTTGTATAAAATGACATCATTTTATATGCTCATATTATCGGATTTATGGTATTTTTTTTAGTGTTATTGGTTTATTTTGTTGGTTTAAATGTTTTTGTATTATATGGTAATAGCCTAATCATAAAAGTAATTCAAAATTTTGATAATTGAGTTGTTAAAATGACCTAAAAATTAATAACTTAAAAATTAAAAATATATAAAATATTCTGCCTTTTTATTCGACCACCGAACCAATTTTTTAGATAGAATTCAGTTCAAAACACTACTCTCCATCGGATAACATCGACCAAAAATTTAGTCTTTCACAATTCATTAATTCAAAAGATAAAATTTATTACTTCCTATTTGTCTAACGGTTTGGGTGAGCTAAGTCAGCAAATTTTGGGTACCATACATTTATTCATAGTGACATTTTCTCTCTGTAGGGCAGATGGTGCTCATTATGAATGTTGAAGATTGTACAATCTTACAAAAACACTCATTACTGAATGATATAGACAAAGGCCCAATAGCATTGGAGCTTTCTGGGCATCGGGTCAAGCTGTAATTGACATGCTACCCAAATACTTATTGTCTGTCTCCTGCATGGGGCCTGCCATTGAATTCATCAATGGTTTGGTAAGTTGGCCCCCTTGTAATGCCTTATTTATTGTCTGTCTCTTTCATGTACCCTCCACAGAGGGATAGGTACTCATAGTTGGTATTTGAACATTTTGTTCAATTTTAATTTGATCTTTAAATTTTTAATTATTTTAATTTAATCTTTTAATTATCAATTTTATTTCAATTAAATCCTTTCGTCTATTTCTCTCATTAGATCAACGCTAATATTGATCAAATTAAACTAGCCTTTAATTGATCTAACAATGAAGATTGATGAAATGTTTTAATTCAGACAAAATTGAGTCAGTTATGATTTTTATCCAATGTCTTTTATCAAGTTAAGTTTCACTTGAGTATGCCTATCTCACCTCGAATTAGGTTGGCCATATTGTAAAGAGTAATCCAAGGGCATGTTTATTTTAGGTTTTAGGTCAAGAAGGATTTTTTTGGTGACCGGTCCACTTTGAAAAACTTATTTGTCCAAAAGTTCAACAAATGTTTTTTTGGGTCTTAAAAGACAATTGAAGCTGTAAAAATTAATTTATCTCTAATTACATAATTAACGATATTACAAAATAGATAATAACATTAGACAGTGATAATAACATAAAACAGTGACATTGAAACGATGTCATATTTGTTCACATTGAACTCTAAATGCCACCTTTTGTTCTACCATCTCACCATTTCGTGCCCAATAGTATTTCCTTTCTCATACTTGCATCTTCATTAGATATTCATCACATTCCCTTTATCATCCCGTTCAATTTTGTCAATTGATCAAAATCCTAGGGTTTAAGTTTATATCGGGAACTAGATCGTGACAATGATAGTGAATTTTCATTTATGTATAAAAAGTGTGAATGTTACAAAAACAAAAAAGAAGATGATAAAAAGAACGTTGACTTTAGGCTCAACAAAACAACAAGATTTGTGAAAGAAAAGGGCGTTTACAAACCCTAAAACATGATTTTATTCCACAGTTTTGTTTAAATCTTTGGTTGGGCTTTCAGAATTGACCCAGACCCACCTTGTCTAAGCATTACTATTTTCTTTCTTTTCTTTTCTTTTCTATTTGGGTACTATGGTTAAGGTGTTTAGACCAATTTATGTACACCTCGATTAATTTTCTCCTTAGTTCCTTCAGAAACAGGTCATCTATGTCGAGACTAAGGTATTCATAAGGGATAAATTTCTCATAACCTGACCCCAATGAATTATCAAGATTCAAACGTAAGATATCTAGATTTACAGTTCATCACTATTATCACTTAAGCATACTCTTGGGATTAAAAATCATTGTTCTCGAATCATAGACTTTTGTTCCAGATCTCTTCACTTGTTGATAATAGTCATACATATAAATCCCAGAGTCAATCTATAATATAAAATAAAATAGATTTTAATAAGTTTATCTAACTGTCTCAAATAAACTCATCTAACAATCACTAATATCCCTCTTAAAATTATTCACATTGAATTTTTTTTTCATTAAATCTATTATTTCTCACTTACGTTGCATTATACCTTTAAGGAGTATTTGAATAATAGGTTAAAGGTGGTTATCAATAGTAGGATGNTATTAAATTTATTATTTCTCACTTACGTTGCATTATACCTTTAGGGAGTATTTGAATAGTAGGTTAAAGGTGGTTATCAATAGTAAAATAGGATAAAATAAGAGTTGACCCATAAAACATTTGTTTGGAAAGTCATTTTTAAGATAGGATACCAATCCCGGGTAAGGCTTGACCTAGTCGCTACTATCCCATTTAACCCCCACACGCCGGCCACACTTAATCCACCCCCCTCATGGGTTACAAACCCAGGCAATGGGTTACCTCACACACAGACGTATTTTCCCCTTTCTTTCTCCACCCGCTCACAACCAGTGACGAATCCCTCTCTCTTGGCCATCATCAAAACCATNTCCTTTCGTCTATTTCTCTCATTAGATCAACGCTAATATTGATCAAATTAAACTAGCCTTTAATTGATCTAACAATGAAGATTGATGAAATGTTTTAATTCAGACAAAATTGAGTCAGTTATGATTTTTATCCAATGTCTTTTATCAAGTTAAGTTTCACTTGAGTATGCCTATCTCACCTCGAATTAGGTTGGCCCTGTTGTAAAGAGTAATCCAAGGGCATGTTTATTTTAGGTTTTAGGTCAAGAAGGATTTTTTTGGTGACCGGTCCACTTTGAAAAACTTATTTGTCCAAAAGTTCAACAAATGTTTTTTTGGGTCTTAAAAGACAATTGAAGCTGTAAAAATTAATTTATCTCTAATTACATAATTAACGATATTACAAAATAGATAATAACATTAGACAGTGATAATAACATAAAACAGTGACATTGAAACGATGTCATATTTGTTCACGTTGAACGCTAAATGCCACCTTTTGTTCTACCATCTCACCATTTCGTGCCCAATAGTATTTCCTTTCTCATACTTGCATCTTCATTAGATATTCATCACATTCCCTTTATCATCCCGTTCAATTTTGTCAATTGATCAAAATCCTAGGGTTTAAGTTTATATCGGGAACTAGATCGTGACAATGATAGTGAATTTTCATTTATGTATAAAAAGTGTGAATGTTACAAAAACAAAAAAGAAGATGATAAAAAGAACGTTGACTTTAGGCTCAACAAAACAACAAGATTTGTGAAAGAAAAGGGCGTTTACAAACCCTAAAACATGATTTTATTCCACAGTTTTGTTTAAATCTTTGGTTGGGCTTTCAGAATTGACCCAGACCCACCTTGTCTAAGCATTACTATTTTCTTTCTTTTCTTTTCTATTTGGGTACTATGGTTAAGGTGTTTTGACCAATTTATGTACACCTCGATTAATTTTTTTCTTAGTTCCTTCAGAAACAGGTCATCTATGTCGAGACTAAGGTATTCATAAGGGATAAATTTCTCATAACCTGACCCCAATGAATTGTCAAGATTCAAACGTAAGATATCTAGATTTACAGTTCATCACTATTACCACTTAAGCATACTCTTGGGATTAAAAATCATTGTTCTCGAATCATAGACTTTTGTTCCAGATCTCTTCACTTGTTGATAATAGTCATACATATAAATCCCAGAGTCAATCTATAATATAAAATAAAATAGATTTTAATAAGTTCATCTAACTGTCTCAAATAAACTCATCTAACAGTCACTAACATCCCTCTTAAAATTATTTACATTGAATTTTTTTTTTATTAAATTTATTATTTCTCACTTACGTTGCATTATACCTTTAGGGAGTATTTGAATAGTAGGTTAAAGGTGGTTATCAATAGTAAAATAGGATAAAATAAGAGTTGACCCATAAAACATTTGTTTGGAAAGTCATTTTTAAGATAGGATACCAATCCCGGGTAAGGCTTGACCTAGTCGCTACTATCCCATTTAACCCCCACACGCCGGCCACACTTAATCCACCCCCCTCATGGGTTACAAACCCAGGCAATGGGTTACCTCACACACAGACGTATTTTCCCCTTTCTTTCTCCACCCACTCACAACCAGTGACGAATCCCTCTCTCTTGGCCATCATCAAAACCATCACCACAACATAAAACCCATCACCAAATCGCGATGGCTACAACCATAGACATCACACCTACACAATCAATGGCCTATCCATGACGATATGATAAATATGTAGTAAGAAGAGAAAGAGAGGGAAACTGAAATGGGTTTGTTTTTCCCTTCTCTATGCAACTCTCTGTTTTGATATAGTGGTGGTGGTGGGTGTTTTTATTGTGGTGGGGGTGGTGGCGTTTCTGTTGCAGGGGAGAAGAGCTTGATGGGTGGTGGTAGGCAGGGGAGAAAGATGGGAGTGGAGGTGGAGGTGGAGGTGGAGGTGGTGGTGGTGGGAGAGATAGGGCGGTGAGTCCTGGTGGCGGTGGTGGTGAGTTTAATGGTGGTGGTGGGATGTACATGGGAGGTGCAGATCATCACTGGCAAACGGGTTTCTGGGTTTGAGAGATTTTTTTAGGGAGAATTACACTTAAATCCCCAAAAATTTGTTATTTAATTATTCAAACCCTTGATATTTAAAATATTAAACACAAATTCCCTTAAATTTATACGCGCGTAATACTTAGACCCTTCAAGATTAATATATTCATTAATAAATTTTACTTAAATTCTTTTGAAGTTGGTAGTAGGTATATAATACTCAAACTCCTTAAATTTAAAATATTATACTTAGACAAAAAATACTGCAATCAAAGATAAAATATCAAATATTATTTTACAATCAAAATTCATATTCTACTGTATTATTTATTGAAATAAAATTAAAAATTTAAATTTAAATTTTTCTTAAAAAAACATAATTAGTATATAATTATACTATCTATTGAGATAAAATTAAAAAAATTAAACAATGAGTCTAAATCATATATAATTTTTTTATGTTTTTAAGTATATGTGAAACATGTATAATTTTATTAGGATAATCCACCGGTCCAAACATATTAAGGCAAGATTGTTTGTCTTTCTCTCATTGTAATCAATTTTTAAGAAATGAAATAAAATGTGGATTTGTTTGAAAAAAGAATACAATATATATATATTTAACTTTCCTTATTTTTATATGCTTTTTATGTATATGTGAAAAATGTATAATTTTATTAGGCTTAGATGGGTTAACCAAACATAAGATATAATTAGTTTGGATTAGAATGAATAGAGTCATGAGTAGAACGTTAAATTAATATAAAATTATTTGTGTAATCTATGGAGCCCACTAAATTATACATTTATTTTCCAAACTAATGTTAGAATTGGATATAATCTTGAGTTATGATTTTAAAGTGAACAAATGGGTTTGATTTGAATTGATTAGGATATAAAAAATAAAAAAAAAACCTATCCGATCCCACCCCATTATCTAAACACACCCTCAGTCATGAGCTAGCCCCATAGTCAAATTACAAGAGACGAACAAAATTGCTGCCACACTTCTTCCCTAAGTGTCATGATTTCCTGTCTCATCATCTGTTTTATTCGCTACGCATCATTGTCTTCTCTTCTAGCTTATTCCAAGGGAACATATATGAATTACTTTAACTATCAAAACCAACATCAAATAATTCGTATTCCTCCTTCGACCTATAGACATGCAAACACAAGTCGTTGAGAGATGTCTCTTCATTGATTCGAATTGAATCGACTCAAACTAGTAAACATTAAACAGATTAGGTTAATTAAATTGAAAAGTTGAATGAGATTCTAGTTCGATATGCTTTTGAGTGATTTTTTTTCAAAGATACAAAGAGGAGAGATTTTCTCCGTGGAGATTCATTTTTTGAAGACGTGGGCAAGATGGGTGTAGGTTGATCTGTTCTAGAGAAGGATGATGACACAATTAAGGCTTAATAAGCTCAAGGGCATTCAAGTAATTAAAAAGGTGATGCAATTTGGAATAGAGAATAAATAAGAATATCATAAGTGTTCTTAATCAATTTATCTATATTTATACTACTAATAAAAGTACCGTAACATGAAAATTTTTGATTCATTATTTTACTCTTAAAAAGAATTACAAATGCTACTCTATCCTTCCACAATTAAGTATCTAAATTGCTAACATACTTTTATATCTTTAAATCTCTAAATTACATCTAATATCTCTTTTAATTATTTATTCTCTATTTATAAATATCAATATCTATAAAACTTTTTGATTGACTATATTACTTTTAAAAATATATATGCATAATTATATTTTTCAATAAAGTGCTCAAAAACTCTATCAATCTAACATTACTCATCTCTTATGAAAAAAATAACATTATACCTATACATGTGCATTTTCTTTTTCATCAAAAAATTTAACCTTTTTATTTTTAAGATAAAAAATATTCATATATATAATTTTTTAGTATCAATTTATGTTACATCAACATAATTCTTCATATATAATAAACTTTCAAAGTTATCTTAAGATTTTACGTGAAAATAGGTTGTTTTTTATGTAAAACTTGAATTTTTTGGATGTTTAACATGCTTTCAAATATATATTATGGAATAGTATATTAAACCTTATCCGAATTGACCTAATTAATTTCTAATTTCAGTAAGATTCTAATATAATTAGTATACTCCTAATTATTATTAGGAATCCTAATCAAATAAATTTTAGCTATTTCTTTTTTTTATTAAATAAATATTTTGTCTTGTAATTAGAATAACAAATTTTGAGAATATATAAAGTTTACATAATTATATAATAGAGTATGAGTGATGAAAAAATAATTATGGTAAACTTAAAACGATATTTAATTCAAGTACACATATACCTAATATTTTTATTAATTTTTTTTGTACAAAAATTATTCACGTGTAAAGTACGTGGTGCATTGTTAGTCTTGTAAAAGACCAGAGCTTAAACATAACACCAATTTTTTTTTTTTTATCTAAATGGACTGACTTCTAATTTTCGATTGAGAGAATTATCTTTGGACCCATCTTCCCCTACCTTGAGCCATGTTTGTACTTAATTTGGGCCTGGCACTAGCCCTGAATTTTAGTGCAAGGCCCAGCATAGTTGGTGTCTTGAAGTTCGATTAGTATTTCAATATTTTAAATAGCTATGTTCTGTTTGTTGGGTGAGTAGTTATACCTAAAATTCAGAAAGAGAGAAAGAGATATGGAGAGAGAGAGAAAATTGGGTTGGCCAATATGGGTATGGATTTGACCAAGTTGAAGCCCAACAGACCCACAAAAAATTAGACAGTCCGAACATAAGTATAAGATTGGACAAAGTTAAAAGATATTTTGATCAATTTCACAACTGTACCTTCAATAAAATAGTACCCCATCGAAACGAATGATATGTTTGTTACATCTCCAATAATTGAACCAAACAAGGGATGTCAGGAGTAACATACTGGAATGATATTTCTTATCCGGCTATAGAAGGGTGTGGGTTGAACAATTTCATCCAACCTAATACTTAAACCAAAGAGTCTTTTGGGTGTTTGGTAAGTTTCACTAATCAACTCATCCAATTTGATTTTTGGAATAAATTTGAATATGAATTGATATATATTTATATTATCCTATGATTGAAAATGTTGCATAAGAATAGAAGGAATCTGTAGGTTATGTGATGTGACATCAAATTAGACATTTTTAAAAAAAATTTAAACAAAATCAGATATTTTTTTTTTACAATTATAAAAGTATTTTTTTTTAAAAATATTGTGCTTCGTCCAATAAAGTGTATAATTCTAATCCCAATGCAATAAGTTGGACGGGGAAAAGTCTAATTATTTAATATCCATTATTATAAATAAAATAAGCATGGGTTATGAGGGCCATAAATTATTATTTTTTTAATCAGACATATCGTGGACTAACAAATAATAACATATTAAATTAAGTAGCTATTATTTTGGATCGACAGACTCGTCCAACTAGTTAATTTATGATAGATGTATTGTGTAGAGAAAACGAGATTTTAGTATACGTTTGTTAGTTCATGCGATATACTAAAAAATGAGGTTTCGATAGAAGGATTTCTCTACCAACACAACATAGTCAATTCCAATTGTTAGAACAACTTATGCGGTGTCTTTGCCCCTATCCTTTTGAGGTATGAAATTAAAATGACACGATCTAAATTTAACACAACCCCACTATTTTATTGTCGGAATAAAAAATAACATGACTACGCAATTTACAATCTAATTAAAAAGTGTAATGCTGTGAATATTAAATTTTTTTTATCAAATTCTGGATACCTAATAATGTGACACGTTGATAAGCATCGGATGATTAGTAAAAGTCAGTTGAATCCATTAATCAAACCACCGGTATTGATTTAGTAAAAAAATTAGCAAAAAAATTATTAAATATAACATTGTTCAACCAGGAGAAAAAAAACTGTCCTATATGGTGATGAGCCCACGTCCAATTGGGTTAAGCCCGATTCATGAAATAAACTCAAATTAACTACAAAGTAGGTCAAGTTTAACTCATAGATTCGGCCCAATCTAAGATTCAAAGGATCCAAGAAGTCATCGTACGTGGAGAGCATTCATCAGAATAACCACTCTCAAAGTTCAAAATTATCTCTAATTGCATCAATCTTTAGCTATAGTTATCTATTCCAAATGACTAGTCACCTATCCCTTCACGCCACCGCCTCAAATAAAACTATGTGCCTATAAATTGTAAATCCTCTACACATAAAGAAGACACAACAACACACCTTTTACACTATGTCTCTCTCATATCTACCTAAATTCACCTAGAGTTTGCCCTTGCTCTCTCTCTCTCTCTCTCACTACTTTATCAATAAAGTCCTCCAACTACTGTTACCGTCTTTAAAGTGGAGTAGATCTGTAAAATCCCGTATTAAAAATTAAATAAGGATACTATTATATTAAAATTTCTCTTAAGATGAATAAAATGATGGTATAAACTTAGAATTATTGTTGAAAGATTGATCATGAAGTTTGAGTTTCAAACGAATTGACTTTTGGATAAACTCCCCCCCCCCCCACACTTGTATCTTTATATAGTAAGTAATCATTTCTTTTTGAAAATGCTAATATTGTAAGACCTGGATAAATATGTGACATCGTTTATAGTAGAACTTGTACCAATTATGTTTGATGTATAAATGTTTATTGGATAAGTTTGGGTTGGTGTTGGCAGGGTTTGGAATTGATTGGAAATGAAAAACAGGCGAAACAGACATTTTTGAGTAAAACCTACCAGTAAAACATCAACCTACCGGTAGATCTTGTACGGATAGGTGTTATCACAGACAAAACCTACACATAGAACAATCCCAGTAGGTTACCAGTAGAACAATCCCAGTAAGTCAAATCAAACGGTAGATTATCAGTAGAACAATTTTGGTAGGTCAAATTAATCGGTAGGTTACCAGTAGAACTTTTCTAGAGGACAAAACCTACCGATAGGTCCATAAATACCTACCGGTAGAGTTTTCAAAAATCAACAATTTTAAAGCTGTTACGCCAAGCTTTGGGACTATGCATTCTTTCCTTCAAAGGTTATAAATGGACAATAATAGAGTATCAAAGATGGTATGTTGGAGCTCGAATGGGTCAATCAATTTAAACCTTCATTAATAGCGATGCGAAAGAATAAAATAATAATTTTAGTGTTTTGAGTGTAAATTTACTTTAGTATAAAGATAAATCATAAAACTAAATATTTTTAGGTTAAAATAACATTAAAAATGAATCTGAAACGTCTAAAAATCTTAGCGTAGTCATAGGGATCAAATTGGAGATATTTAGTGGCAAAACTTTAATTTAGGAGAAAATTGTAATTTTCGGACCTTATGAACAGTAAAATTTGGGATTTGACTGACTTTAAAACACCATTTTTATCCCATTTTCTTTCATTCTTTCATTATTTCACTCCATTCTTACTCCAAACCACTTAGAACTCTAGGAGAAGGTAAAGAGAGAAAGAAAAGGGGAGGAAAGAAGTCTCTAGAGCTTGGATTTTTCTTAGAACTTTTGATTCAATGTAGGAGTTTCTTCCCACTCTTGTTCATTGAAGCTAGGACTTACATATATGTATTCTTTTCACTCTCAATCATATATGTATGCTATAAAACCCTTACTCCTTGATTTTTTTGCAAAAATTTTCATGTTTTGAAGGAAGCTATGGTGGAATAGCTATCAAATCTCTTTTTCTTGCCTTAGAACCCTAGTTTTCAAGAGAAATGAATTTTTTTTTTGATTTTTCCTTTGTTTTTGATTTCAAAACTTTAGTGCATTGTATTGAACAATAAAATAATATTGTTGATAATCTCTTACTTATTTTCTTAAATTGTTCTATGGTAATACTACACGTGAAATTTAGGAATTTTGGATTTGCTTGTTATTTGAGAAATTTGTTGGGAATTGTATCTCTTGTGGATGTTTGGATGACCATAGGTCGCCATTAACCGGATATCATAGAGTGGATAGATGCGTTTCTTACTCCATGCTGGTTTAAATTTTTCTTACAACTTGTAGTGAGGTGGGTGCCTTGTAAGGATCAAACCACTATTCGCTCACAGGTACTGAGGATGAAGGTTAGTATACTATTCCTGAGTTGAATTCGTCACTGTCAATGTGTTGGTATATGCCTTTCCTAAAAGTTGGATATCCTTACGAGGATTGAGTGTGTGTGTGTGTGTGTCAGGATATTGTCGATGTGTTTATTCATGCGATGTCATACATCATACCTAAGATACATAAATATATAATTTTGTGAAAGATACAAGTTGTGGTTTGATATACATTGCTGGAAAGGGGTTATTATTGAACATGACTTATTGTTGAAAATTGGTTTTATCTCTCCTTTTAATTTATTAATATTGCTTAAACTTGAGATCGGATGAACTGTCATTGTTTTCTTTCAAAAGTTATATATGATATTTGTGAAATGAGACCGACTTGTTTTATATGTTTTCAAAATCTTGTCCACGTTTATGAGGATTTTCCTACAAAGCTTAGTGTTAACCCTCTATAAACAATATTTATTTTTAAATTTCAGTTTAGAGGAAAAGCTTGGAGTTTGCGAGTAGGTAAATTGGGAAGCTCAAGTGGATGGGCATGTGGATCCAGAGGGGGATGTCTAGAATTGCTATTTTTGTGTACTAGACTAGGAGTTTCATNGTCATTCAAATATCGTCCATGTTCACTTAGAAATTCCCAGGAATATGCAGATAAGATGCTGTCCTCCATGCACACACACAGGCGCGCGCACAAACACACATATATATATGACTAAAATATAAAGTCATACGATATTCAGAATTTGTATCTCATTTTATTCGGATATTTCGATCACTATCGTACGATGTACGGAGATTTATATGAATAAAATATATAGGTACGATATACAGAATTTGTATCTCACTTTATTCGGATATTTTGATCACTCATATGATGTACGGATATTTATATGAATAAACTATACAGCTCGTACAGAATTTGTATCTCACTTTATTCGGTTATTTCGATCCGCCCCTTCGTTCATGTCCAATTTGCTTAATTGACAGGGAATAAACTGTTATATTTTTTCCGTTTATGAGATAAGCCCGGAGATATTTATTGGAGAAATGTTTGGCGAAAAAACCTTGAAATTAAGCATATAATGTACTTATACAGGGAACCTTCCCAACTCCTCTCTCTCTCTCTCTCTATATATATATATATATATATATGATTTTAAGAGAAATATTAGTGACTGTTAGATTTAAGACTATCGAATATATATATATATATATATTTGACTTCTCTCATCCATGGCAAAATATTTAAAGCTACTTTGAAAAATTTTGATGAAAATTTATGTGCAAAAAGGAGGAATATTGTATTAATTTGGGATTGATTATAATTGTCTTGAAACCTAATCTAAATCAACTTACAACAATGAAGTGTAACACCTTCTGAACCTCGTCATCCCTCCTCCGACTTCCGCCACTTCAGGTTCGATCTTTACCTCAGTAGAACAATAAACAAAATCTGATAACTTCATATAATGTCTAAAATACTTCCGGTTAACAATCTTATCTAATTTTCCAGTTCAATTTGAAACTCGTCTCAATAATGTTAACTATTCAAGATTAATGATGAAGTTCAGACAAATACCTTTATATTGGATACACGAAAATGAAACTTAGACGCACGAACCAACACAAAAAATAAAAAATTTCAGACTACGCGATATTATTTCACCGTTTTTATTATTAATAGAACGTCTAAATCGAAAGTTAATAATGACCAACTGAACTAAAAATTCCTTCTTATTGAGAAAATGTCGAGCAGCCGGCACCGGAGAAATCCAAGCTTGGTTTTGTTTTCCTTTTGCGAAGTCCCACTGATTTTCCAACCTTCCAAGAGTTGGTTTCGTTTTCTCAAAGTCCTGAAATTCCAATCTTCGGTTCAGGTATATCCCCACAAACGATCCGAATCTTCTCCTTGGAAGAACCAAACAGCCCATTGACTGTCATCAAAACTTAAATTCCAAATTTGCCCTTGAATTGACCTACTGGTAGTTTTACGAGCAACGGTTATTGTATCTATCTACATCTACCCCTGTTTTTATATTTTAAATTATTATATCTATTTTATACCCAGACACCGACACGTATATTCCAAATTCTTCGAATTATCCCGGTGTTTCATAGACGACAAAAAAAAGTCAACGGGCTCGGCTTTCACTCGCCCGCAATTTTTGACACTTTGGCACAAATTTGAAATTCAATTAGAGTAAAGTAATAGCATTAAAATATGCCTTAATGAATAACCGAGCCTATTTAGTATCACGTCATTAAAAATAATAAATCAAATAAACCACCTTATAATTGATTAATTTAAAAAATTAAGCATTAATTTTATCATATTTATATTTTTAAAAAATAATTTATTTTTTAATTTAATTTAAAACTATGAACAAAAAGACAAATAAGATAGAGAGAGATTTAGGAGTGAATTAGTAAGGGTGTTTGGCAGTAAGAGTAAGAATTTTGTTGGTTGATTTGGCTCGTACAAAAAAAATATTTTTAAGAGATAAAAAGAATTAAGAGTAAATTTTGTATCATTGAATCATCACAAATATATATTAAATTAATTTCGACCCTTTTTGTATTTTTATTTAATAAGTTGAACATTCAAACTCATCCACGAACTTACTGGCCCACTCTCAGCTTCACGCACTTCACACTGCCACGTGGCCAATCGAAACCGCAAAAGAATGATAAAAAAATAACAAAAAATTAAAAAATTACTTTCTCTCTCCTCAAAATGGAATAAAACCAGAGATATCCTCTTACAAAACCAAAGAATATTCCCACACTACCCTTCGGATATTCTCTCTCTTTCATCACATACATACAGTTATATCAACCCTCCATCTCCCACACTCGTCTCTCCCCTCTCATTGTTCTAGAGAAAATTCTCAGATTTTCTTTCTTTTTTTCTTTCTCGACAATGAAATTCGGAAAGAGTCTCAGCAACCAGATCGAGGAGACTTTGCCTGAATGGAGAGACAAGTTCTTGTCGTACAAAGAGCTGAAGAAGAGGCTGAAGCTGATCGAACCAAAGGACGCTGATGTTAGGGCTAGTAAGCGGCCGAGATTGGCCAAGGCCGCCGGTTTCGGGGAGTGTTCGGAAGGACGAGAGAAGGTGGAGATGACGGAGGAGGAAACTGAGTTCATCAGGTTGTTGGAGGACGAGCTCGAGAAATTTAACTCCTTCTTTGTTGAAAAAGAGGAAGAGTATATCATCACATTAAAGGTAATTAACTTGATTCTGGTGCATTTAGTCGAAATTTTTGATGGATTTGTACTTCGCTATCTGAAAATTGGGTGAAATTTTGAAAAATCAACCGTATTAGCCCGTCTTTCGTACGATTGAACGGAGCATCTCTGAGAATGCTTAGATGTGCAACAAAGTATGATAGATTTTTTAGTCACAATTCTTTCGAATCATAATGCCACTTNTATATTAAATTAATTTCGACCCTTTTTGTATTTTTATTTAATAAGTTGAACATTCAAACTCATCCACGAACTTACTGGCCCACTCTCAGCTTCACGCACTTCACACTGCCACGTGGCCAATCGAAACCGCAAAAGAATGATAAAAAAATAACAAAAAATTAAAAAATTACTTTCTCTCTCCTCAAAATGGAATAAAACCAGAGATATCCTCTTACAAAACCAAAGAATATTCCCACACTACCCTTCGGATATTCTCTCTCTTTCATCACATACATACAGTTATATCAACCCTCCCTCTCCCACACTCGTCTCTCCCCTCTCATTGTTCTAGAGAAAATTCTCAGATTTTCTTTCTTTTTTTCTTTCTCGACAATGAAATTCGGAAAGAGTCTCAGCAACCAGATCGAGGAGACTTTGCCTGAATGGAGAGACAAGTTCTTGTCGTACAAAGAGCTGAAGAAGAGGCTGAAGCTGATCGAACCAAAGGACGCTGATGTTAGGGCTAGTAAGCGGCCGAGATTGGCCAAGGCCGCCGGTTTCGGGGAGTGTTCGGAAGGACGAGAGAAGGTGGAGATGACGGAGGAGGAAACTGAGTTCATCAGGTTGTTGGAGGACGAGCTCGAGAAATTTAACTCCTTCTTTGTTGAAAAAGAGGAAGAGTATATCATCACATTAAAGGTAATTAACTTGATTCTGGTGCATTTAGTCGAAATTTTTGATGAATTTGTACTTCACTATCTGAAAATTGGGTGAAATTTTGAAAAATCAACCGTATTAGCCCGTCTTTCGTACGATTGAACGGAGCATATCTGAGAATGCTTAGATGTGCAACAAAGTATGATAGATTTTTTAGTCACAATTCTTTCGAATCATAATGCCACTTAGACAAAAATTAACTGACCAAGTTGATATTGAATTGACTAGGTATCTTATTTAATATTGTGATCCATGTTAACTCAACTATAATAGTGGATTTGATTAGTAAATTTACTGAGGAAATTGGATCTAACTAACGTTACTCTTGTTTGAAACAATAAACCGTGTGGATCATGACAACTGGAGCGCACCTTAGGGATACTTTAATGTTTCTTCAAGCATTAAAATGATGAATTTGCCCTTAACAATACTTACAGTGGAATTAGAAGTTATACCCACCGAATTTTGTTTCGATTTGGTTGGTGTTTAGAGAAGATGAAGTTGATTATATGGCTGTTGGTTATGTAAGGACTTTTGTGTTGTTATGATTTTGCATACAGTGGAACTAGAAATTATAACCACCGAATTTATTTGGATTTAGTTGGTATTTAGAAAAGAAGGTGAAGTTGAGAATGGCTGTTGGTTATGTGAAGGCATTTGTGCGGTTATGATTTTTGATTTCAACATTTTGTCAATAATGGAGATAAAAAAAATTTTGGAATGAAACAAAGATCTAGAAAAATCTTATAAAATATCTAGTATGATTGTCGTATTAATATGTGGTTCTTCATGTGGTAGCGTAATATATGGTGATTTCAAAATATTCTGGGCCCTACAAGATTGCTCGGCTGATAAGCGTCTAAATATGTTGGCACCACAAGATTACTTGGCCGTTAAGTGTGCTAAAATGTTGTTGGTGATGATAGTGATATGGTGCTCGACCGCTGTTGTCGTTTCGATATTTTGTTTTGATTCAACAAACATTTTGTTGGAATGAGAACAAAAATCAAATAAAATCTAGTTAAACATTATTATGCTATATATAGGTATCGTTTCCCGCTATTATTTGACGAAGTATTTCAGCATTGAACCCCTTAATGATGTTTAACCGACAGTTGTGTAGAATACTTTTGATCACTTATTAGTATTACTACTATTAGATCATGGGATTTGAGTGCTATGGGTTTAAATTCAGTCAGGTCGAACTAATATGGTATGGGTTTTTTGGGTGGTTGGTTGCAGGAGTTGCAAGATAGAGTGGCAAAGGCCATGGATTCTACTGAGGAGATGATAAAGATTAGGAAAGAGATTGTGGACTTCCATGGAGAGATGGTCTTGTTGGAGAACTATAGTGCTCTTAACTATACAGGTGACTTTCATTCCTTTTATCAATTTTTTGGTTTTACTAGTTGAAGCATTTGTTCCCATTCAATTGGCTACATTAGCAATTGAGGAAGGAAATAATTGTAACAAATTGGTTCTCTTTTGTATGCAGTCGTGGAAACCTGAAAATATAGTGCTCCAATGTTTCTTTATATTCAAGTGATTTAGCTGTATGTCACTGTCCTGCATGGAATTTTCCATAGTCTAACTATAACTTCAATGAGTATTCACTATTTTGTTTGCTACTGGACTTTAGTAAATGCCTTTGATCTCCCTCAAACATTCGTAATGCGTCAATCAAGAGCTAAAAATCAGACAACAAAATTGTCTTAGCCATTCATAGGAACGATGCTTTTAGCATCAATTTAGGAACTCTGTGTGAAAGCTTTTATGCAACACAATTTTGTATTCTGCTTATTTCAGGCTTAACCTTGAAGGTTCAGTCTGGAACTTTTGGTACCCGCTTAATAAAAAGGACTTGTGAAAACAAGAGCACAGTATTTATACTTTTGTCTATTAGAATCATCAATCTGTTTCACAGAACTGCAGCGTTATGGACATATGATCTGCAACTACTATTTCATACTGGTTACAGGACTGGTAAAAATTTTGAAAAAGTATGACAAAAGAACTGGTGCTTTGCTTCGCTTACCCTTCATTCAAAAGGTCTTACAACAGCCTTTCTTCACCACCGACTTGCTTTACAAGCTGGTGAAGGAGTGTGAGATAATGCTGGACCGCCTCTTCCCTGTGAATGAACTCCCAGCTTCCACCGAGGTTGCCAATGGGGATGAACCCTCGACTTCTGTCACAAACAAGGATGATGGTCAGCTCAAGGGCTCCAGGGAACTCGCAGAGATTGAGTTAATGGAGAGCTTACATATGAAGAGCACTATATCAGCATTGCGGGCTTTAAAAGAAATTCGAAGTGGAAGCTCAACAGTTAGCGTTTTTTCATTGCCACCGCTCCAAATTAGTGGACTGGAGGAGACTTGGAACAAAATTCCTGTTCTGGAACAGGTTGCTAAGAAGTCAGACAATAAGGAGGGGAGCAGGCCATGTATTGTTCCTCTTCTGTATTAATTTTTTTTTCTTTTTTCGTAGTTTTGAGTCATGCATCTACTATACATGTATTAGATACGAACGCTGATGTAAAATGCTCCAATTTTATCCTGTAAACTTCCCAAAATGAAATCATAGATTATTGTATAATCTGTTGGAACAATTGGCAAATGGAGTTGTTTATTGTGCAAGAGCAGACAGTCAATATGTCTCTGATCTTAATGTGTAGTTGGAACATGTCTAGGTAAATTTCTCAACTTTGGACCATTTTGTTTTCTGTATGAGTTAAGCCTCTTAGTGTAGTCCTCATCCAATGGGTAGGCCGGCAGCCTATACCATTTACTAGCCAAATTTGAAAGTGTTCTTTGGCTATGAATCCAGGGTTTTAGTCTTTTTAGACTTATTTGAGGTGAAGTGTATGGATAAGTATTTTTATTTTATTAAATTCAATTTTAATAAAATATCTTGTAATTAGTTACAAAATTCAAAAAAAAAAATTGTATTTTTTTACTTGCTTATCTTTCTTTAAATTATGCATAATTCATATTATTTAATTCTTTCTCTCCTTTTTTTCACATCATTACTCTCTCTATTACTCTCCCATATTTTCTTCCAATCTCTCTTTGATACTCTTTTTATCTCTCTCCTATTTTCTCTCTCTCCCCATTGATAATTTTTTTTCCTTTTTAAATATGTAAAGATTTGATTTGATTTTTTCATCTATCTCTCTTCCTATTTTCTCTCACTGTTACTCTCTTTCCTTATTTTCTCTCTTTATATCAACATTACAATTATATCAATCAATTACATCAACCAATTACAATTGTCGTATAATACTTACTCATGTTCTGATAAACCAAACAGTTATACCAAACAATTACACGAAATTATGACATTGTCAAGTATCACGATATGGTTATACTACTAAATTGTGTAACTCTTTGATTTATGTAAACAATTGAGTACCAAATTGAGTTAGTGTTATATTTTTGTATAATTGTTTGGTGTAACTGTTTGATTTATCATAACACGTGAGTAAATATTTGGTATATTATAAGACAATTGTAACTGAATAGTGTAATTGTATTGTTGTCACTTTGATATAAGAAGAGAGAGAGAATAAGGAGAGAAAATAGGGGGAGAGAGAGTGAGAGAGAGAGAGACCAAAAAATAGGAGAGATAGAGACATGAAAAAATCAAATCAAATCTTGAAAAGAAAATAAATTATTAATGGGAGAAAGAGACAGAGATAAGGAGAAAATATGGAAGAGAAGGTGAGAGAGTAATGGAGAGAGAATGAAGTAATGAATGGTATTTTAGTCTTTTTCTTAAAAAAAAATGTTTTTATGGTCAAATAAATTTTCTTAATGTAGTTTACTTCAATTAAGGCTAAATTTTTGTAACAGCTGTTGAAGTTTGTTATGGTGTTTGACTTAGTCATTTGGTTCTGTTAATAAGTCCCTGGTATTTGGGATTAGGTTTAGGAGTTTGACTCTTTCTTTGCATGTATTACTCACATCAATTAGTACTGAACGTGAGCATTGAGCAATTTTCCTTTCCCAGTTGTAAGACTATATATATAGCCATTTTCATTCAATAAACTCCAAGTTGTTGCTTGAAACACTTTTACTTATATTTAACATTTGGTATCAGAGCCACAGCAGTAGCTTAACAGCAACAACAATGGCATTAGACGGAAATTATGTGCATCCAGCAATTTCTTATCTTGATGGCCATTATGATCACTGGTCCATGCTTATGGAAAAATTTTTGCGTTCCAAAGAATACTAGAGCGTGGTGGAGAATGGTCTTCCCGAAGAAGTCACAGGGGCAGTCCACACCGCTGCAAAGACCAAGACACTCGAAGATCAAAAGTTGAAAGACCTGAAAGCCAAGAATTACCTCTTTCAAGGCATTGATCGTTTGATTTTGGAGACCATCTTGAAGAAAGACACCTCAAAAGATATTTGAGACTCTTTAAAGAAGAAATATCAAGGGACAGCTCGTGTCAAACGAGCACAACTCCAAGCACTGAGAAAGGAGTTTGAGATTCTCCACATGAAGGAAGGAGAATGTGTGAATGAGTATTTTGCTCGAACTCTCACTATAGTTAATCAAATGTGGATTCATGGAGAAAAAATGGAAGATGTTGTTATGCTTGAAAAGATACTACGATCTATGACTTCCAAATTTTACTATGTATCGAGGTAGGGGCAGAGGTCATGGCAGATCAGCTTTCAATAAATTCATTATTGAATGTTATCATTGCCACGATCTAGGGCATTTTCAATATAAGTGTCCAAAGAGAGGTAAGAGTCAAGGGCACACTTTGCAGAAACAAGTGAAGAAATGCTTCTTATGGCATATATTGACGTACAGAAAGATCCCAATGAAGAAGCTTGGTTTCTCGATTCAGGATGTAGTAACCACATGTGTGGTAAGAAGGAATTTTTCAATACACTGAATGAAGACTTTCGAGAGTCAGTAAAGCTTGGGAATAATACTTATCTCAATGTCATGGGAAAAGGAAGTATTCGAATGCAAATCAGAGATATTACACATGTTATTACTGAGGCATATTATGTTTCACNTTTTGCGTTCCAAAGAATACTAGAGCGTGGTGGAGAATGGTCTTCCCGAAGAAGTCACAGGGGCAGTCCACACCGCTGCAAAGACCAAGACACTCGAAGATCAAAAGTTGAAAGACCTGAAAGCCAAGAATTACCTCTTTCAAGGCATTGATCGTTCGATTTTGGAGACCATCTTGAAGAAAGACACCTCAAAAGATATTTGAGACTCTTTAAAGAAGAAATATCAAGGGACAGCTCGTGTCAAACGAGCACAACTCCAAGCACTGAGAAAGGAGTTTGAGATTCTCCACATGAAGGAAGGAGAATGTGTGAATGAGTATTTTGCTCGAACTCTCACTATAGTTAATCAAATGTGGATTCATGGAGAAAAAATGGAAGATGTTGTTATGCTTGAAAAGATACTACGATCTATGACTTCCAAATTTTACTATGTATCGATGCAGGGGTAGAGGTCGTGGCAAATCAGCTTTCAATAAATCCATTGTTGAATGCTATCATTGCTATGATCTAGGGCATTTTCAATATAAGTGTCCAAAGAGAGGCANGGGAAAACAAGTTCCCAATACTTTTTGGCCAGAAGCTGTTCGATGGACTATTCACATTCTCAATCGAAGTCCAACTCTTGTTGTGCACAACATAACTCTTGAGGAGGTCTGGAGTGGATCGAAACCATCAGTTGACCATTTTCGCGTCTTTTGGCTGTATTTCTTATGACCATGTAGCTGATCATTGACACACCAAGTTGGAAGAAAAAAGTTTGTGGTGTGTAATGCTGGGAGTTAGCGAAGAATCAAAGGCCTATCGCCTTTATGACCCCGTTTCAAAAAAAATATTGTTAGTAGAGATGTAATTTTCAGTGAGGGCGATGGATGGAATTGGGCTGAGAATCAAGACGGTCTTGTAACTGAACTGCACTGGAATGATATGGAAGATGACAATGAGGTATGGGAAGATGACAATAGGGTTGAGGATGCAATCATTGAGCAACACGAGGATGAGGAGGCAACAATGCAAGAGGCATCAATGCAAGATCTAGATGCTGCTTGAGATCTACTAGTTGGAGATGCTGCTAGAGATCTACCCGTTGGAGTTGCTGCTGGAGATCTACTCATTGGAGGGTCTCCTAGTCCAAATAGAAGAAGAACACGGAGACAACCAACCTAGATGAGAGATTATGTCACTGAATTAGAAGACTCAAAAGGTGAGAACTCTCTTTTGGCTTTGTTTGTTGATAGGGACCCGTTATCTTTTGCAGAAGCTGTGAGGAGTAAAGAGTGGAGAGTGGCTATGGACGCTGAGATTGCTGGCATTGAAAAGAATTCTACATGGGAATTAATTGATCTTCTGGTTGGAGGAAACAAAATTGGCATTAAGTGAGTCTTCAAAACGAAGTTAAATGAACATGGTGAAATCGATAAGCAAAAGGCGAGACTGGTCGCAAAGGGTTATGTCCAACAACATGGGGTTGATTTTTCAGAAGTGTTTGCGTCTATAGCCAAGCTTGATACCATCAGACTTGTGATTTCTCTTGCAGCACAAAATCACTAGAAAATCTCCCAGCTGGATGTGAAGTCAANGCTTGAGATCTACTAGTTGGAGATGCTGCTAGAGATCTACCCGTTGGAGTTGCTGCTAGAGATCTACTCGTTGGAGGGTCTCCTAGTCCAAACAGAAGAAGAACACGNATCTAGATGCTGCTTGAGATCTACTAGTTGGAGATGCTGCTAGAGATCTACCCGTTGGAGTTGCTGCTGGAGATCTACTCATTGGAGGGTCTCCTAGTCCAAATAGAAGAAGAACACGGAGACAACCAACCTAGATGAGAGATTATGTCACTGAATTAGAAGACTCAAAAGGTGAGAACTCTCTTTTGGCTTTGTTTGTTGATAGGGACCCGTTATCTTTTGCAGAAGCCGTGAGGAGTAAAGAGTGGAGAATGGCTATGGACGCTGAGATTGCTGGCATTGAAAGGAATTCTACATGGGAATTAATTGATCTTCTGGTTGGAGGAAACNTGATAATTTATTTTCTTTTCAAATATGTAAAGATTTGATTTGATTTTTTCCTCTCTCTTCCCTATTTCTTCACTCTCTCGTCTTATTTTTTTTTCTCTCTCTCTTTATATCAACGTTACAACAACACAATTACACGAATTAATTACATCAATCATTTATAATTGTCATATAATATACCAAATAATTACACAAAATTATAACAACAACTCNAGGAAACAAAATTGGCATTAAGTGAGTCTTCAAAACGAAGTTAAATGAACATGGTGAAATCGATAAGCAAAAGGCGAGACTGGTCGCAAAGGGTTATGTCCAACAACATGGGGTTGATTTTTCGGAAGTGTTTGCGTCTATAGCCAAGCTTGATACCATCAGACTTGTGATTTCTCTTGCAGCACAAAATCACTGGAAAATCTCCCAGCTGGATGTGAAGTCAACATTTTTAAATGGCGAAATTGATGAAGATGTCTATGTTGCACAGTCACCTGGATATGAAAAGAAGGGCAATGAGCAAAAAGTGTATAAGCTAAAAAAGGCATTGTATAGATTACGACAGGTTCCATAGGCATGGTACAACAAAATAGAGTCCTATTTTGAGAAGGAAGGGTTTACTAAATGTCCCTATGAGCATACCCTATTCACCAAGACCTTACCACGAGGTAAGTTTCTAATTGTATGCCTCTATGTTGATGATTTAATTTTTACTGGCAACAATGAAGACATGTTCATG